TGTGTGTGTGTGTGTGTAAGAGGTTGGCAGGAGGAGAGAGGGCGGGGCCAGTACTGGCCAAGCACTTCAGTGAGCTAATGATTAAAACCGTGCTTGGTGACAACGCTGCCTGATAATGGCCAATCTAGGGCCTTTAGTGATGCAAATGGACAGCAAATTACACTAAGAATAACCTCCACTGTATGTGGGATGGGGGGGGGGGCGGTAATCACATCTGTACAGGGTTTGCACACGGGGATCTAGGAACAACAGGCACTTGCATCAGATGCAAATTAAAATCACGAGTGCACTGATGCACAGATCATGCCACATAGATACGGATTCCTTCCCCTGCAAAACACACTGGTCATGAACATAAATCACCAACAGTACGGTAATTACAATATCCGAGGATGCATGAGATTCGTATTAATAATTTATATTAGGAGAAATCATTAGACTAACGCTAACAATGCCAGGAAGAAACGTGACAATAACTAACACTAATAACATTGCAAAGTGACTTGATAAAAGAGTGTACAAAATGCGATGTAAACAGTTATTTCACACCAGACTTAGCCCACATGTAAGCACATATAATTCCAAAGGGGTCATGAACAGAGTCCTCCTCCCTAAGGAGACAAGGCAGAGACCGGATTTCCACGTTACAGGACTTAAAGAACCGACAGAGGCCCAGTACCTGTCCTGCAGGCCTCGGCCAGCTGTCTTCCGGAGGACCTGCTGCTTCTCGTCAGACTCCGACTGGGTGGAGCTCTTGTCAGAACCTTCATCACTCTTGCTCTCGTCATCCTCGCTCCCGGACTCTTCTACAGAGACGTACATAGACACACAGCCCTGAGGTTTGCAAGGATTTACAAAGACAAGCAAGCAAGCAAGCAAGCAAACAAACCGGCAGACAGACCTAAACTGATATGGCCCTTTTCCCTTCCCTCTGTGCTACATTTCACAGATCTGCTCCACAAACCAGCCTTGGCACACAAGTCAGTCAGGCCAGAACTGCTCCCGGCACATTCTCCCTCGATACTTCACATTAATATACACATTTCAACCTCTTTTAATATAGCTTTACCAACTGTTTATAGGAGAGTAGCAGAAGTATTTTCTTTAATACACTGACAACATTTATTTGAGTGTTTCTCATTACCTCTTCATTACCTGACATGAGGCATTTCCACACATACATTATAAATGGAAAATTGCTGAACGTAATGCAGTTCAATTTAGAAAAATCATTTAAAAAATATCCCTGCAGCCCTGACCAGGATAAGTGGCTATAAGATGGATGGAACACCTCATTTTTACTTAGTATAATATGATATTACTTCCGCATGTGATAACTACAGCAAGTATTAATCGCCAAATGAGAGATGTTCTTTGGTTGTTCATAACCTCATCAGCAAAAGGACGCTTAAGTGGCTTTTAAACTCGCAAATCATCAAAACAACAAGAAAACTCCTCCTACAAGTAAGAAAGGTCAAAGGTCACGCAAGGCATAGTGTTTTTAATGCCTTTAAGTTTTCCTTGATAGAAATTAGTCACATGGAAGCCAGATAAGTTTAGAAATAGACATTTTATCGTTAGTACACAGACGCACACTTTGGCTACATTTCCACACATTAGTGAACAATACAATTACTTTTACTTGAGGTGCAGTGACAATCCAAATTATTCTAAAATCGTTCACAAAACTGAATCATGGTACTAAGTATTCATCTATTTAATGTTAATGTGGAACAAATAGCAAGTCATGATTCTTAAAGAACGCAAAAACAACTTCTCGACATATCGCTTTGGGAAGCCTGATTGAGATTAATCAGAGACTCATTTTAATTGTGGGTGCAGAACGAAAAAGAATGGGAAAAGACTACAAATGAGCAGGCTGCTATTATATTTCTCATCCAGATAGAGTGATCAAGACCAAGTTAGCATAATTTGTACAAATCAATTTATTTAAATGGTTGCCTAATGAGACAACATGTTGAACATCACAGTTCCACAAAAAAAAATGCCACATCAACTCTAAATCTTTGTTTGCAGCACTTTGCAAAACTAAGGCATGTAAAACTTACTAAAAATTTAATCAAAAGTTAATGCAGGGTAAGATAAACTGACCAGCTTCATCTCCATGGCAACTAATCACCAGCCCCAGCCAGGACCTCCGCTAGCGACCCCCAGCAAACAGAGATAAGGATGCTACAATTCTTAGGTCGTCTGAGTGGATCTTGAGAGCGGCTGGGCACTGTGAGGCAGTATGAGGCACAAGGTAGAGACCTGCACTCCCGCGGGATCCAACGCACCGAGTGCGGCGCGGGACAAGATTTGATGGGTGGATGCGGGTGCGGGCTGTAAGGTCCTCATGTATGTGCAGGTTGCGGGAGAATAGAATTAATCGCGGGACTCCCGCAAAATGGAATTCTTAAAATTAATTTATTAAAAACAAGTACTCTATTATTTATCTACTGCACAAAAGCAACAAGAACGACTAAATTAAAATAATTTACAGGCGAATCGTCTACAGAAACTACAATTGCCGCGTTCTGAGTACCGGGGGACGTAACCAGACCCCCCAAGAAGTAATCAGCCTGGTGCTTGGACGGGATGGTATGTTCTGAAAAGCTCCTCGCTCGTGTCCATGTTCATCATTCCATTTAATTAAACTCAAATAAAACGAAACATATTTGTTTATTTTCCGTTTCTTTTTTATATATACTCAAAAGGGAAGCAAGTGAAACAAATAACAGAGTAGCGGGAAGAAACGGTAAAAATAAAACTACCAATATGTTTACCTGCGGGATTTTGCGGGCGGAAGCGGACAAAACTTGAATACTGCCATTGGGCAGCATGTGAACGGGACCCTGATCTCCACCACAAAGGCCGCCACTACTGACATACACGCTAATCTGATATACAACGGGCCAAAACCATTCATGTCAATGATGAAAACTCCACGGCACAAATTCTAACCTCTAACCAAACGGCAACAAAGCGAAAGAAACTGGATGTAATTGCAAATCTAGATGTGCAACCCAACAGGGCAGCTATGCCGAAAGACAAAGGGTAACGTATCCCTCAGCAGCTCAGTCGGGGGGGGGGGGGGGGGGGTACCTCATCTCAACTCCAGCAGATGTAGGCATCTTCATTTGCGGAGAAGGAAAGGAAAGGCCTGCTGTGTCAGTCATGCACTGCGAGCGAGATGAATCCCCCTGATTGTGCGCTTGGATCACAAATGTTTGCATATGTGCAAAGACCCTTAAGGTGTCCATGTTCCACAGGGCAGCATCTTCAGCAATGTTGCCGGGCAACCGCCAAGCAGGGCAGCTCATCTGGATGATCGGAAAAGCTGCCTACAGTCAATAAAAGTATTTCAAATTTCTTGTCCAACGTCAATGGGAAAGTGCCTGAGCACCACTGTGCTGCAACAACGTGCATCGTCACCCTGAGTCTCCATGCTGTCACTTCTTAACCTGGACTGTAAAAACTCTGCTCGCTGAACAACGTCGTGGGCTGCAGACTACAGCAGACTCCCCAGCAGGTTACACATGGGCCAGACTACACTATGAGACTCAGGGCATCGTCAAGAGGTGATTCTGTCCATGACAGACGTAGGTGAAAATGCTTCCATGTATTACTTCATTTCATTAACACATGGATTAGACTCAATGCCTTTTGAGTAAAACTGCTTTTAAATTATGTAGTACTAGTATGCCTCAGATCGACCTGTTGGGGGGAGGCGGGTGAGTGGTCCAATGAAATGCGTTCATACATATTGTGACGACGCTCTGACAGTTGCCAGGCGACATTATGTCACTGATTAGACACAACAGAGGCTCCGACGTGGAGGGATTATCCTCACGGCGTAGGCGACACGTCTGGCAGGATGTCCTGTCAGACCTTACATGGCGCTGCAAGACGAGATGACCAATTGAGTTTGTCTCAGTCAGTCACAGGCAATATGAACCCACTGCAGACTGGGATTCACTGGTTGGGCAAAGAGGATTTCAAGATTTTTTTTTTGGGGGGGGGCGTTAGGTCTCAACAAACAGAGGGCAAAAGCCTGGACATTGCACATCCTGTGCATATAGCACATAGATAATACATATACACTGGATACTGGTAAAGAGAGTCTATGGGAGAAGGTGCTTTGATACCTACCTTCACTACTGCTGCTGTCCTCAGCACTGCTGCTACTTCCGGATGCCTCCTCCTCCTCCTCCTCTTCCTCGGAGTCCGAGTAGAACTTGTCAGACTTCGCTGGCTTAGCCTTTCCAACCGATGGCGCCCACTCTTTCACCTGGGCACCGGCAGAGGCGAAGAAACTTAAGGTCAAACCTGGGTACTCCATAACCGATGGAGAGATCGAGAGCGTTTACTTAAGGCAGAAGCGATACGGGGTGAAAAGATAAACGAAAATAGACATCCATTGTTAACTTCTGTGCGTCCTCCTTTTTTAGCCCGCATTACAGGTTCATGGCATGACATTTAAACTGCTAGTTACCTACAGACAAATTTGTCTACATCTCCAGAAAAATCGCTAGTTATGGCAAAACAACTGAAATTACAGTTCAAGCTATTTCGATGCAGCTAGCTTTGTATTTTAATATCGCGCAACATGTATGTCCAGATTGTCGAGTGACGATGCTTGCTATACATGGGAGATGAGCTGACAGACACACTGGAAAGGAGATCTACAGGATGCCTATTTAACCTTTCAAGTAGACTAGAGCCTTCAGATGACGCCTGGCATTTTGAGATCCAGTACGACAGTAACTAGCGGCAGGGCAGGGCTCATACCGGCTCGAACACCTCCACGTTCCTCACAGACTGGTCGGGGGCCACCTTCGGCCAGTCAGACAGCTCCAGATAGCCGCTGGCTTTGGTGTTGAGGGTGTGAGACAGAGTCCCCAGCTGGAAGCGATCCCTATCTATTAAGGGGAACAGGAGGGGAACACTGTAATAAATAACACAGACCCAATGTCACACGGTCCAGTCTTAATCAGAGCTGCTGGTAATTGGCACTAAATTAGCTCAAATGTCACAGTATAAACACAAACGAAGAAGGCTTTTAATGGGTCAGAAAACTGATTTAAGCCCATAGATTACAATAATCTCCCCCATAATGGTCAATAAAAAAGGTAATCAGTCAGTGTGTTTAGAGGTGTTTGCTGAAATGTAGCTTCTCTAAAAATGACTTTACTGTGAATATTAAGAATGACAGCGTAGTTAAACAAGCACCATACATGTCCTGCCACACACACATTCAGAATTTTAATGTTCTCCTCTGTCGTCTTCCCAGAATGGAGACATCCCTCTTAACTCAAGGCAATCCCCCCCCCCCCCCAGCCCCAAGCAGCATCGGAGATAGGCAGGGATTAATGTCACAGTTTCTGCGTTTTCAGTAAGCCGACGAGAGCTCAGAACCCACTGACCTTCCTTCCGTGACGGTGACAGGCGCAAACTTTTAAATCGCGCGGCCTGTCGGGCCACTGAAATATGCAATAGAAAAGAGGGCAGCAGAAATGACTGAGACACTGCCTTTAACGGCAGCCTCGACTCCATGCCGCAATTAGAGGCAGCGAATGCGAACGCCAAAGACGAGACGGGAAAAGTACATAAATAAAACATGATCAAGAAATGTGGGCAGAGTGGGAAATCTTGATGAATGGGGATCTAAAACGGTTTGTACACGATGCAAATTTCAGACCAGCAAACCAGAGTATGCAAAACATATGAGCATGAATGATGATAATTTAAAAAAAAAAGTTCATGCTAATATTTTCACATTTTTAACAAAAGTATAGATCAGTAAATTCAGAGCGACAGAAGTCATTTGCTGACAAATAGACACTGAGGATCATGATGGTTATTTGCTTGCATTTATCACCCAGTATGAGGACAGACAAATAATACTGGTTGGTTTGCAGGGGAACTGCAGGTGAGTGGCTTGTATGAGGTTGTGATGCTCCTCTATTATATACTATGAGCTCATCAGCCTCATCAGTGAACTGTTGTACCTTTGAAGGTGGACTCCAGCACGGGGGCTGGCTTGGAGGCCAGAAGGATCCTCTTGGCGTATTTGCTGAGAGCGCCGCTCTTCTCGTTGGGGACGATCAGTTGCCTGACGAATCGGGTTCGGTCCCGTATGTCGTAATTCTGGTCGTACTTGCCCAGGTTTAAAATGTACTGAGTGAGCAGTTTCGTCTGAGAAAGGGGTACGTGGCGGGGGAGGGGGGAATCGAAAGAAAAGCAGATGATTCACGATTATCGATACCTCTGAATAAACATGTTTGGAGGTGGTAACAAAAACAAATGGTTATGGAAAACAAACGTGTCCCGGAGGGGACATGACGGGCTTGGGGGCCGGCCAATTGGATCGGCGGGATGTTGGCGGGCGGGGGGGGGGCACATGTGTGTCCTCCCCCCTGGTGGTGAAGGTGGGCGAGCTCTGTGGCCAGCTCAGCCATCCGGGCACGCACGAGATTATTAAACCGCTGGGCTGGAAAGAAAGGCGTCATTAAAAAATAATCATATATGGCAAAGGCGCCGAAGTCGCTGCGTGACGATAATGAATATAGAAATACAGCTTTAAAAAGAAAGAAAAAAAATGCAGGCCCCCGGGCTTAATGAGGGAAATATGTAAGACATCACAGCACGGGTGGGTGTCAAAAGGGGGCGCCTGGCTGCAGGGGAGCTCCTTTATGAAGAGGTACTACTCCCATCGTGTATCCCCCCCCCCCCGCCCCGCCCCGGTTCCCGCCATGTCGCACTTCCTCCCCTGAATTATGACCCATTAAAGGCAGCCCATGAATCACCGGAGAGTATTACTGCAAATTATTTGCAGTGCATTTAGCCGTTATCCCCAGCCCCCCCCCTCGGCACCCCCACAGGGCGGAGACACTCCTGCCCTTTGCGGTGGCCGGGTAAGTGACTGACCGCCGCCCCCTTTTCCGCTTTTACGGCCGGGGCTAACGGCAGTCTTTTATTTGCAGAGGGGAATGTAAGTTACCGGTTGCCGGTCACCGCGGCGACTCCAGCACACAGGGGGGGCCACTGACATGGACGTGCTCGCTGGGGGCTGCGCCCAAGTCTTCCTGGCGATCTGTCAGCCTGCAGAGCTTAGATGCGGTCCTAATCAAACCCACCTGATACAGATAATCAGGCCTTTCCGTGGCATCTCAGCCAGCTACGCTGAAGCCGAGCTCTGCTGGGTGGTAGGCCTCTGCAGGGTGGTAGGCCTCTGCAGGGTGGTAGGCCTCCAGCAGCCGAAATGAGCCGCCCTGATCTACGTTTCCATTTACGCAAATGAGGCCCGCAGCCAATGAGATACGAAAAATTTAAACTGAATTTAATGGGGCTGCAAGTTATGCAGGACGATGCTTCGGTCTACGATGGGCACTGACCTGCCTAATAGCTCAGGATCTTCTTTGCCTTTTAAACGCTGAAATCCGACACGGAATAGAACGCAGGGCAGGATGAAGGTTAGCAAGTCGTCTACACGCAGTTTGTAAAGCGTGGGTGGACAGCACATTCCTTTAGCTCTTCATTGGAAGGTTTAATAGAAAGCAACACCCACAGCTCATGCTTCTGCTCCGACACAGCTGACCAGGGCATTGCATAGCTCAGAAGTAGCAGGTGTAACAGAACAGTAGCCATTCCCCTTCTGGGGCTCGAAGAGGCTCCAGGTCACATGATTGTTTTCCTGAGGTCTCTACTTGGCAGTGACCCGCGGGGGCCTAATGAAATCGCGCCGGAACTGTAGCAGGACATCCTAGGAAATTTTTCTACCTGCTTGGAGTTGGTGAGGTAGAGCTTAGCAGCCAGGTTGAGGATCTGCAGCTTGACGATGTCCTCCTCGGCTGTGAAGGTCTTGGCCGTCTTCCTCAGCACGTCGGGTGCAATCTTGGGGACCCGCTCGCAGTACTCCCCGATGAGCCAGAGGATGCTGGCTCTGGCCATGGGTACCTATCAGAGGGTTGCATGATTGAGGTGGTTTGCCCATAAAGAACACACATGTACACTTTATGAAGAAAAGTATTGGGACACCTGGCCATTGCACCTACACAGACATTTATGACACCCCATTCTAAATCCAAAAGCATCAATATGGAGTCGGCCCCCCCTTTGCAGCTATAACAGCTGCCACTCTTCTGGGAAGGCTTTCCACAAGATTTTGGAGCACGTCTGTGGGAATTTTTGCCTACTTTCAAGGCCAAGCACTGATCTCCATTCCATCCATCCAAAAGGTATTTGATGGGCTTGAGGTCATGGCTCTGTGAGAACCAGTCAAGTTCTTCCACACCAAACTCCCCCAACTACGTCTTTACGGACCTTGCTTTGTGCACTGGGGCACCGTCATGCTGAAACAGAAAAGGGCCTTCCCCAAACTGTTCCCACAAAGCTGTAAACCTATAATTGTCCAAAATGTCTTGGTATGCTGAAGCATTAAGAGTTCCCTTCACTGGAACCAAGCCCCTGAAAAACAGGCCCATACCATTATCACACCTCCACCAAACTTTACAGTTGGCACAATGCAGTCAGGCAGGTAATGTTCTCCGGACATCCGGCAAACCCAGACTTGTCCATCAGACAGCCAGACAGAGAAGCGTGATTTGTCACTCCACAGAACACGTTTCCACTGCTTCAGAGTCCAGTGTCGGCCATCTTTACACCACTCCATCCAACTCTTGGCACACAGTTTTTGCGCTGGGGTTTATGCCAGAGGAGAGTTTGAAACTCTGAAGTTACTGAGACAAGAAAGTGTTGGCGACTTTTACACACCATGCACCTCAGCACTTGGTGACCCCGTCCTGTTACTTTACGTGGTCTGCTACTTTGTGGCTAAGCTTCTGTTGTTCTTAAATGCTTCCACTTTGCAATAATATCACCTTACAGCTGACCAAGGAATATCTAGCACGGAAGAAATTTCACGAACTGACTTATTGTGAAGGTGGCATCCTATGACTGTACCACACTTCACTGAGCTCTTCAGAATGACCCATTCTTTCACAAATGTGTGTAAACCTGACTGCATAACTAGGTGCTTGATTTAATACACCCGTGGCAATGGGTCTGAATGAAACACCTGAATTCAATGATTAGGTTGTGTGTCCCAATCAGGGACGGATTATGGGTTGTGTGGGCCCCTGGGCAAAACGACCACCACCACCACCACAATTCAAGGGCCCTTGGCAGCCAAACGCCCTCCCTCCATGTTTCCATCAGAGGTCCTATAGGGTCAGGGGCCCTTGTAGGCAGAGGATCAAAGAATGTAGGCCCTCTAAAATATCAACAATGTATTTTCGTTTGTCTAAGCGTTGCAAATTGTTTTGGGCTAGGGGCCCCACGGGCTAGCGGCCCCGCTGGCCCGGTCTGTAATCCGTCCCTGGTCCCAATACTTCTGTCTATATAGTATACACTATAATATCAGAATGTATCTTTCCAAGTAAATAATGCAACAAAATGCATATATGGTAAAAACTAATATGAAGTGCTTTCTTTTAACATACTCTGCCTCATAATTCATTATCAACATGTGCATTACCACATAAATGAATATAAGTAAATATATATGTTAAATTAAGTAAATAACAGAGATATTACAGTCCTTCTAATAAACCAGAGTAAAGTGCAGTAATATTATAGTGCCTCTACAGTGTTTAAAACCATCTGTAAATGGGTAGCATTCAGGTCTTGCTCCTGCTGATTAAAATGCAAACGAAGCGTCTGCGTTGGGAGCTGCACAGACGTCTGCGCTGTGGCCGGCCTCACCGTGATGCTGTCCAGCAGCTTGGCCATGTGCTTGATGATATCGCTGTGCTGGGACGGCTGTGTCTGTAGTAGCTTCTTGATGACCACCACGCTCTCCGCCACTACCGTCTCTGAGGAGCACATCAAAGCATCACCATCACTCTCAGCACAGCAGAACAAAATATTTCCATTTCTAATTCCAAAATATTATGAATAAAAATAAGGGCTGCGCAATTTCACACTGCGATTATTTGACATATTTGCACTTAACATTGCGCTTAATATCCATAAAACATCTATATGGGCAGTGGTGGCTTAATGGTTAGGGAAGCGCACTTGTAATTGAAAGATTGCAGGTTCGAATCCCGCACCACTGAGGTACCCTGAGCAAGGTACCGCCCCCAAGCACTGCTCCCTGGGTGCTGAATTAGCTGCCCCCTGCTATGTCACTATGTCACATAGGGAATAAATGCAGAGGACACATTTCGTTGTTGTGTGCTGTGGTATGACAACCAATCACTAAAATGAAATTTACCCTAAATAAACTATAGTCGGACAGACTAGAGCAGGGGTGTCAAACTGCAGTCCTGGGGGGCCGGAGCCCTGTTCCACCACAAATGATTCAGCTCAACAGCTATGTGGTAATTAGCACAAGAAGTTGAATCAGGTGTGTTAAACGAGGGGAAACCCAAAAATGTGCAGGGCTCCGGCCCCCCAGGACTGGAGTCTGACACCTGTGGACTAGAGTGTGTCAAATAATTTGTTGCCATGGGTTCTGTCAACAGACCAGTGCTGACAAATGCAATGTGATTACAGGGTTTTAGGTGATGCGTGCAAATATTTGTCAAGATGTCGGTTTTCCAGTACTATACAAGCATTTACCCCCACATTAGTAGTATGCGTAAGATATTTATGACAGGTGTATCGTGACGCCAAAAAGTTAATCTGTATAAATTCAGCGTATCCTTATGTTTGATGTGTCGGATATTAAACTGCAAAAAGCATCGCCACAACACCAAAGTCCTTTTACCTTTTTTATCCACAGTATCTCCTCTTTTAAAAGATCTTGCGTCTGTTGAGCTGTCCCTTTCTTCACCGCTACTTCAGTGCTCATCGCTTCCCACGATATACCAAAAACAGTAGCATGTGGCGTGCTCCGCTAACGGAATTTAATAAACATAAGGATACGTTGAATTTATGCAAATTCATGGGGGGGAGGGGATCCCCATGTGTTTTATCCCCACTAGGAAGTTTTTGCTTCCTCTCTGCAGTCGTCTGACATTCCCTCCTTTGGCTGCCCTTTTCACTGTTTCTGTATCATTCTGTATAAATGATTTAGTAATTACTACATGTAAAGCGCCTTGGGGTGACTGTTGTGAAAGGCGCTATATAAAACCAAAGCGAACTGGACTAAGGATAAAAGCTATTAAGCTGAACCCGCTAAGGCTGCCCTCTGCAGGCTGCTTTGAGAAAAGGTAAATGCCTGTTCCAGCCAATGTTAGCTGAAAAAATTAAAAAGGAACACTGACACCCATAACCTTGGACAAGTTAAAAAACAGCAAAAAACATAGCAATGTACAAGTCCACTTCTGTGGGCCATGGAAACAGATCTGCCCATTGCACCTGCTGATTTACATACGGTGTGACCTGCTGAGTTTGTTTTGTGACTATGAAACCAGGCATTTCATTGCATAAAAACCCAGTTTTATTTTTGTGTCGAGCATCACTGAAGCTGCCAGATTCCACTGGCGACCAGACCTGCAAACTTCAGCATGATCACATTTTAAGCTGACGGACAGAACTGTGCAGAGGAGCAAACAGGTTATTCTGTAGCTACGAGCATAGTGAAGGTGGAGTAAGACCAAGAAGAGTTTTCCGGGTCTCAGCCTGCACTAGCATCACCCAGGAAGCCCATCCTCACCGTTTCGGTTGGACAGCAGCAGGACCAGGCCGTTGAGGCACGTGTCAGTAACCTCGTCGATGTTTGTCGCGCACCGGCCGATCGCCTGGATGGTCGCGGCGGCAAAGGCCTTGTCCTGGCTTTTCACATATGTCTGGAAAGGGGAAAATAAGTGAACGGGCAGCCGGGGGGGAATAAATCAATATTTTTGTACCATGTAGTGCAACTCAGAAAGGACTGATATCAATTCCAACGAGAATGAACTGCAGTAATGATAAAGTGTTGGCGGACAGACGTGAGGCGAACTCAAAAAGAGGAGAGCGGCGGGCAGCCCTTAACGGAGGGAGGGAGGGAGGGAGAGAGGGAGGAAGAGAGGGACAATGGAAACGCGCCTACCTGGAACTCCCGGAGGATGGTGGAGATGTTTGCCTCGTTGGCCAGGTTTGTTAGGATCTCCAGCTAAGAAGACAGATGTGAGGGCAGAAGGGAAATAAGTCGCCCCCCCCCCTCCCCCAACACAGACTTACTGGGAGCTGATTCTGATCCCAAAGTGCACAAGATGCTTCATATTGGTTCACACCAAAATATTCAGCTCTTGAATCAGATTTCACTTTGAGTGAACTTACAGTATCATTCATACGCCAGCACCATAGGAATCTCAGTGGCTGCATGTCATATTGTGCATACGGATATAAAGGCATTTTACTTGCCTTTGCAGTCAGAATGTACTTTCCTTACCCCAAAATAGCTTCATATGTGTAATGCCATGGCCTGTGTTGGGGCACTGTGGGGGTTTGTCATAGCCGACTACACAGATTACCTCCCGTTCAAACTCCACATTGTACAAGGCTTTGCAGAAGTTCATTTAAACTTCTTAATTTGCATTAATTAAAAAGTTAGATTAGTGCAGGGAGAGCGCAGTGCAATTACCTTCAGGGTTTTGATGTGGGTAGCATCTGTAGATCTCACAAAGAAGCTCTTCAGGAAAGGTTCAAACATGCCCTGATGGGAATAATTAAAGTGAAACACGCTGAACTGAATACATTTTACATTTTTAAACCTGTAAAAATTCCCAGGTAGGCGCCGCATTTTGAGTGAATGCATACGTGTATAAATATGTATACAGGGCACCTTTTTAGAACCTGAGAAAGTGCATTCAGAACATAGCCTAAAGGAACTGGCTAACAATGATAATTCATAGTGATTCATCATGGCTTAAAATATTCTATCAGAGAGTGAATGCATTAAGGATTCATTGAAGGGATAGATTCAACACAACACTGTCTGAACGCTCACTTAGTTACATTAAAGGGGGATTCCATCCAAAAACGACATTAACTTCCTTGTGCTACTCATAAGACAATTTCACACACATTCAAAGGAAATTACTGCCGGCATCTTAAAAGAGAACAGACATTTTCTACCCAGAAAAATTGCTTATTTCAACAGCATTTGTAGTTCCATTTAGCAGTCTATGAAGAGTAAAATTTATGTATTTTGCACAATCAGCAGCGTTTCATTCATCTCAATATCCACACTTGCCACTTGGTATTCTTGGTATTTTCCTCGTAATATATTTAACTTGTAAAAACAAAACTGTGATGCTGTGGTATTTGCATAAAAAACTAGGTTCGTCAAGCTCTTTGAAGCTTCCACATTCAACGTCGGCTTTGCTTTGAGGAGCCACACAAAGCCATGTTTGTGTTTCCATCGACATCTTAAGCATGACAAAACGTGACAAATCCAAAGGTTTCAACCAGGTTAGTTTGACATCGCAATCAGTCAAACACTGTTCATAAAATTCCCCCTTCGGAGCAGTAATATCGTGAAAGCAAAACAGAGCCAAGTACACAAATCTCATCATCTGGCTCAGCAGAAATGTCTCCTGTGGGACACGAGTGTTTGCTCCATAGCACAGATTCTTCCTTGATGTAAGGCCAGGAAACACGTCAGCTAACTTTTATTCTGATATCTATAGCTGGCATTTGTGCAATAACTTGTGTTGACATTTTAATCTAATAATAGTTGGTGTGGTATAAGTGCTACTACATCTTTCACAGGGGTTGGGGCACACCTCTAAGTCACCTTAAGTCAATGCTCTAATCTAGGTTCTTAGTTACAACAGAAAAACAATCTCAATGTGTTTCACCCTTGTTTAGCTTTGGTCTTGCTAACTTGACAGCAGAGTAGTAGTATACTCGACGCCCCAAAGAGGTACATCATAAAACAGAAAGGTAAGCATATGGTGAAAACAGAGGCGATGCCCAGTTATAATTCACAAACCAGAAAAAACAGAATTCTCATTTTTCATCATAACAACAAAATTAGCATGCACTGGCGCAGATGCCTGCGATGAAACATCAGGAATCAACAGAAAAATGTTATTTTTAGAGGACTTATCTTTAAAAAATGGGCCTTACCTTTCTCTGAATTGACATGGTGGCAATGTTCTGTAAAACAATATACTGAACTTCTCTGTAGGACAAAAGAAAAAGTATTAGTGGTAAGCATTTGGATGACCCTTAAGATATACAGAACAACAACACTGATGTCTTTAACTGTGCTGTCAAGACTTTCTCCAAAAGTAAAAGCTAAAACTGCAAACAATTGCTAGAACGAGATCTGAAAATATCTGGAATCCTCAAAAAATTATGTAATTCCCCATACTTCATAAAAGCTATTACATTGCTAATTCAACATGGCTTTGATCAAAATTCATGCTGATCATCGAAACATCAACAGATAAAAACATCAAGAACAGCCACAATAAATCAGGTTCAGAATTAAAATCCCACATTCTCACCCAAGTCAGTCATCATCCTTGCCTCAAAGGACGGAATAACCTAAGACTTCCACTTTCAGGAGCATACCGACTGCCCACAGCCCTGGCAGTTAGCAAAGCTAAGCCCCATAGACCATATTTACCTCAAATACACTTATAAAACTGTGTGAGACCTAAGTGGCATATAGGCACAGTCATTTCATTAAGCTAACCAGTGACCATACTTAGCTGAAAAATATTAAAATTGGGGGAAATACGGAATGAAAGGTTAACCTCTTATCTGTTATAAATGTAGCGCACTGCAATACACGGCATTGTACAAGATTCACCGTGATGGAAAGCCGCCCCCCCCCCCCCGGTAAATGTGTCAACCACCGTCCCACAGCACCGGGCGACCAAAGGCATCACCTGTGGCTGCGCAGGAGCCGGACCAGCGACTTGGTGACAACGTTCACCTCGTGCTTCGGGGCCAGGTGCCAGTACAGCTGGGACACTGCCATCACCACCTGAGTGCGGGAAAGGCTCCATCAGTCAATCGGGAGGGGGGGGGGTTGTTATGAAGGCAAAGCCTCCCAAGACATTTCTAACCAGCCCACACACTACACAGGAGCAATGAATTCACTGCCCACCCCTCAAAAGAACTGCTTAGTTAATTTGTATTTCATCTATATCAAACATGTTAATGTGGTATAATCCAGGGAAAGGTTTCAAATATACTGCTTTTATTTTTTTTAAACTAACCATGTCAAACAAATGCATCAAAATAAAAGGAATGTAGCCCTTTTGCCCTGCCCTCCTCCCAAGTTATGGAAATGCAAGGTTGTGCTGTGTGCACAGTAATACATTAAGTACATTACTGTTCCTGCCAGAAGTATTCATGGGGGGGCGGATGGGTCACATTCCTACTATAACTAAGCACAGAACAGACTGAACGGACTTCTAATTCCCCCATATTAAATCTGGGCCATGCAGGATGGAAAGACAAGCCACACATTGTGTCATCACTGCGATGGAAACTGTCTGTAGTAACAAATGTCTCCACTGGGGGCACTGTTCTTTCTAAACTGGTAGGATATTAGTATGAATGACAAAATTTATAAGAACCATAATTTTAAAATGTCATTAATTTACAGACATGTATTATCATTGTGTACTAAAAATACACGATGACCAGAAGAGCAAAGTCTTGAGAGCAGCATTACCGTTAATTTAATAAGCCATTAGAGTTTTAACAGCAGGCTATAGCACCGCCATAAAAACAGCGAAGGCCAGCCTCAGCATCTCGCGGCTCACCGCAGTGTTTCGGCTCTGCAGCAGCGGCTTGGTGTTCCTAAGCAGCAGACGGTGGTCTGGATCCATCACATAGGGCCTGCTGTCGGCCTGCTCTTTCTCCTCATCAGAGTCGTAAAAGGTCTTCTCGCTGTTCTCGTCGAACTGGGCGTCCTGGAAAATGCACAAATTCACTTGTTCTTTGTGCGTCAAACCCGGTGAAAAGCTGTGTCTATGATGTATTACAGGGGGTACTCAATCGGCAGACCGCACGATCCGAGTCATCGATCGAGTAACCACCCCCATTCGGTGAAATATTCCAGAGCCACCCCACCTCCCCCCCCCCCCCTCGTGGGCACCGGACCTTGTCTTTGTATCGCTGATGGAATTTGAATGTCGGGGGAAAAATAATTGAGTCCATTGCTTATTATTCCTTACTAAATGCACCAAGCATATCATTCAGAATTTCAACCAATAACCATCACCCAAGAGGACAGGGTCAGGGGTGAGCCAGGAGCGTAAGGCAGAAGGGGTGGGTAACAGCCCGGAAGGCGGGGCACACACACACCCTCAGAGAATCATGGGAAATTTAAAAACACCAGCTCACCTAACTGCACATCCTTGGACTGAGACTGAAAGCTACAGTGCTGAGTGTGGCAGAGAGTGCTACCCACAGCCACTGCGCTACATTAGCAAATGAAACCAACGACTTATTATGCTTAAAATGCAAAAACAAAACTCAAAATAAATAAGCAGGGGTAGACATTAATACACACAACACTGCTTCTGCTATTGAAAGTTGGCATTAGAAAGCTTTTTGCTCACCCTTGACAGTCATATTTCCCCCCCCTCATTTCTATTCTTCTGTTTACAGACAGCTTTAATGACGCTGCTCTGAATGCATTTGTAATTACCGGTTTACAGATGCTGGCCCCTCAAAGTGCATTAGCCTGCCGTGGAAATGACAGCACGCCATCAGCACGGAGAAGGGCCGCCCCCCCCCCCCCCCAGAAGCGAAAAAGGAAGAACACGAACGACCCCTCAGCACTGCTGCGTGTCAGTCAGTCACCAGCCGCATTTCTGCTGGGTAACTTCCTCACCTTTATTCCCAGCCAGGCTGGGCTGATGCCAGTTTAGAGGTAGTTGATCAAGTAACTGGGCTGATGCCAGTTTAGAGGGAGTTGATCAAGTAACTGGGCTGATGCCAGTTTAGAGGGAGTTGATCAAGTAACTGTGTTAGACTGGCTGACTTGATTTCATGTTGGCTTTGCAGAATGGGGGGCACGCGGGGGTAGCGGAAAACGGTAGCAGGGACAGATTTGTTCTGTTGCTGAAGTATCTAGTTAAATGACACGTTTCCTCCACAGGCCTCCGTTATAGCCATACAAGGCCCATTAACTGAGACATCGAGGTGGTCAGGAGAGCTCAGGAGCGTGGAGCTTCCTGCAGTCCATGAGGGCCATCAGTGTCCAGCTTTTCTCCTCATACCACCAAACTCTTCAACACACTCCGACCTCAGCACCCGTCTGGAATTCCACAGATTGAATTAATTCATAACAGCTAACCAGCTGCACCAGTCACTTTATGCATCAGTTGTATATAACAAATGGAAGAGCTGTCCCCCCCCTCCCACCTCCTCCACTTCCTCACCTCACCTTTTAACCCTACTATTCATGCACTGCAAGCTGTTTACAGCTGAATGTCCAAAGGCTGTTTTTAGTTTCGGACAAACGCCATTTTGTTTCATTATACGCCTGCAGTGGATATAAAAAGTGTACAGACCCCTGTTAAAATGCCGGGTTTTTGAGATGCAAAAAAATGAGACCACTTCTTCATGACTGTCTTCACTGTATTCCGTGGTATTTTCTAACAACGTTGAATATTTTTGCACCCTTCTCCTGAATGATACCTTTCAACAATGAGATCCCTATGATGCTTTTAAGCCGTCTGCGAAACAATGCCTTTAGCTATAGGATGCAGCGGAGTAAAGTTCAGAAAAATCCTACTACTAGGGCAGCTGATCTTCATTTGGGGTTAATCAGTCACGTTAATTGAACCCAAATACTGAAGGCTATAAATAAAAGGTGCTTCAACAAAATGTTAGTTTAAGGTTGTATACACTTATGCAGCCAGCTTATCTTTTATACTTGTCTTGTATTTGTAAATTTTCCTTGTAAAAGATTAATTTGTTTTTCATTTGAATTGTACAGGTTATAGGTCACATTAAAGGTGGGAAAAGTTTGGAAACGATTTACCGTGGTCTAATTTTTCACATCACAAAAACCTGCCATTTTAACAGGGGTGTGTACACTTTTTATACCAACTGTATTCTGAAATGACAAAGTTTGACTTGACTTGGCTATTAGTCATGGTAAAGCACAGGTAACACTACCTAGGTGGGTTTATGGCCATCGCTGCCTCTTTTCTCTCCGTCTAACCCTCCACACAGTTATACTGCAAAGCCATTCAATAATTCCTTCCTACAGACAGACTGTACTGTAATTAGATAATGAACCATTAAGCAGTGTAAAACTGAAAAATTACTCATAAAATGAGACGTATAGGCCGACAAATGTAGGTTTACTTTACGGCGAATTGCATCTTTTCAATGAATCTGCACATTATAGGAATCATTCAGAAAGAAATTTACCGGGGAAGGGGGAATATTTGGGGGGAAGCAGCACTCAGTGACGTCTGTTGTTCATACAGCATTAGTCACCTGAAAAATACCGGGGATGATCAGGAAGGTTTTGTGGGAACCCTCCGAAATTATTCTTCACGTGTTTAACAGCTCACAGCACCGAATTACTTAAATTAGTGTCTTATCAACAGCAGAAATGCGAGATGAGGCGTGTTACTGCCTCATTAAGGGGGCTAACTGGTAAATGCAATTACTTGCCAAAACATGATCCATGCTCTATGTTCTATGTTCTAAGCTTGACCACCCAGAGAAGTCTGGGACTAAATTGCAGAACACTGACCTAAGAATCGCCCTCAAGGAGATCTGGTACTAAGCCATGACCCCAAGAGTTCCGATACCAGATATCTGGAAACTGCATTAAGGTTCTACCACCAGCAATTCTAGAACCACGGCACAATTTCCTAAATCTGCTTTCAGAGGCCTAGTACTAGATCGCTGGGCACTGAGCTAGGACTGCTTTCATAGGTCTGCTGCTAGATTCCTGACACTTCATTAAGAGGTATATCTTTGCTTTGAGACAGACTGTGACCAGATCAATCTGGTTACACTCTCCATTGCACTCTCACCTTTCATGTCGCCAAAGCGTCGAGCTCCCTCTCTGACACAGATTATGACTGTAGATCTGGGCTAACTCAATCTATCCACCATCTGAAACAAGCCTAGGACAATGTAGCGTATGCGGGCCTATCAGACCACGACCACCTCTGGCTTTATTTTACATGTGACCTCTCTCCTCTGTGCTTGCGGGCTCCATGAAAGTGCGGCCGCTCGCACTAATTTCCCGAGTTAAAACTGACGGCTCGGTGAAAAGCAGCGACCTTCAGATTGCACAGCTCATTCTGCAAATTGCCCACCAATCCCCCATAACACAGCGCAGGACCACAAGGCATGATAAGGTTGGGGAGGGGAATCAGTCTGCAGACATATAACTTAGACACCAAACCATAGCTTGCTTGCATTTACATAAGTCATCCTCGGAGAGCGTTGATCTTCGCAAAAATAAAATGAGAAGGTCTTCTAGTAAATTAAGAGAGTATTTATGAAGTAAAAACTTTCAACCTGTTCCCTCAACTGCATATTACCCTCCGGGCAGAAACGAAAGCAGTGGAGGAAAAAGGTCATTTGTTTTGCTGATTGTATGAACAGGAAAACAAAAGAAAGCGAGTTGGAGATATGCAAAACGTAACTAGCTCATCATTGCCCCAGAGTCGAGTAATTTCAGAAGACTAAATTGCAAATGCCGTGCTGCGCTGAGAGTTGGCGCTAAGCTGAAAAGGTTTAATTTCCATTTTTCCTGTATCAGCTTTATTTATAAATGTCGCGGCCTATGAATATCCTTTTATTTCCTTATACTCAAGCAGCCTCTTAACAAATCTTCTCATTAATATGTAAATTCGAAGTCAATCGGTCTTCTCTCCGATGGCGCGCCAAATCTTCGAGTACACTGTGTAATCAGCTTTCACCCGGCATCCGCTATTTATCATAAAATGTCACCTTACGAGAGCAATGGCATGTGAGGCCCTCCCCCTCAACCGGCATATCCTTGGAAGGCCTGGAGACTCCATAGGCCTCAAATGCTATATATACGGGGGGGGGGGGGACAGGGCACCTCAAGGACAACCCAAACTGCATGGAGTCTACAGTTTGGGCTACTGAGACTAGTTTCGGAAAAAAGGTTTGGAAGATGCCCTTTTCTGCGATGTAACAGGACATTTAACCAAATTAACCACAGCTAAAGGTGCAGCAGCTACCATCACCATTAGGGGGAGCTGTTAAGCCTCCTAAATTATTTTCCACTGGCAGCATCGCAGCACCTCATTCAGGTCTGAGAGAGACGAGCCTCAGCCACCAGAAAGTCAAGCAAAACGTCTCCATCTGCGATGTCTGCAAAAAAAAAAAAAACTTAAGAACCTATAGAGGAACCAGAAGAGAACTATTTGGAAGGCAGATGCTGCTGGGGGGAACGATTCGCATAAGAGTGCTAGACTAATGGGGAACGACAGACAGCAAGTGGCACCTGGTGTGTAGAGACAGCGAGAGAGGAAGTGCACACTTGGAAAGCAACCATGTGATGGGGGTGTGCAATGTGGACAGCCAAGGCTACAGGAATGGGGGGGGGGGGGGTTTAAAAAGGAATACAGTTATACCTCCCCAGGTATAACAATACACAGTATGTGGCAGCACTGGCTGCATGTCATTACTGAGACACTGGAATGACTGACTGCTCCATTTCTGCATCCTTACCTGAGACACTTCCGGGATGGCTTTATAGAGACAGACACAAATGAGGCATTATCAAAAGAGACAGCAACGGTTTAAATCCGAATATTACGCCTTTCAAGCATTTAAATAACTGAAAAGAGACTGGAGTACCAACTGAAACAGAGAAGCAGAGTGAAGGATTATTGTGCACCTTCAAAAACATTTCATTACGGACTGTAGGATGGGCAGATTTTCGTTAATGCTGAGTAGCAAAGGACCAAAACCCCCAGGTATTGAATAGTGGGATCTCCTGCCCCCCCCCGCCGGGTGACCCACCTCCCTCCATGGGCTGAGGAACTGCGTTCGGGCGTAGCGTGTCAGCATGTTTATGATGACCACCTGGCCCCACTCCTCCACATCCACCAGTAGGTGGCAGAGCTTGCGGTAGTTCTTGTGGATCAGATCGATGCGGTCCGGACATACCTCCTCAAAGGCCATGACCACGCTGCCTGCCACAAGCTGGGGGAGGGAGAGGGGGGGTGCAGGGTGAATGCTCAGTCTATTGGCTTAAAGGGAATACAGCAGCTTAGGTGACAGATTGTGTGTGCCGACTAAGGACAAAGTCTCCTGAAACAGATGAACACAAAGAGACAGGAATCACATGAATATACATAAAACGTAACACCACATGTACCTACAAGTATATATCATTATAAATACACATATTCACAAAACAAACAGACAAACAAACAAACAAACATGTTGTGGTCCACACCAGGACCACAGCTGTTATTTGAAGACACAATCTGGAACACCATGCCTGTCTTGACCATAAGGCAGGCAGCATGAACCCAGGGCATCTGCAGTGATGAGTGCAGACTATAAAACCACATACAAAACAACCCCAGTGCCAATTTAGGCAGTGGAGTAAAAACAAAACAATTATTAGATCCCAAACAAAAAAAGGACACTTTAATTAGGTAAGCTAATTAAAGGATTTTGCATCCTAACAAATGTAATTACATTCAGCCGCCAGTAGAGCGTCGCCCTAATGATTTGAACGTCTACAAACCTGTCACTTAGCTCCCCCGCTGAGGCAAAAACGAAGAGCACCGTTCAGACGAAGTCTCGCCCCAGCTGACGTGTCACCCCAGTCTGTGTCCGATTTAACGGTACATTCATACAGACAACAAAGGTGGGGGGGGGGGGTGATCTAGTTAAGCTCTATATATATATATGTCAAAGATTTCGAGAAGTCTGTGATTCCGCGATTTTCCTGGCAGCTGACGGATACGAGGTTATTAATATGCAAACGGAATTAAACGGTGAGAGGGGAAGAAGCTCGGAATGCTGTCTCCCCATTACCGACCCCCCCCCATCCGGCCCCCCCCCGGAGATCTAACATGCTTTCCCATCAGGTGCGAACGTGGCCCCGCATTTATGGGATCCGGTAACGAGCAGCCGTGCACACGCCAGCGTTGTGAGTAAACAGATGCCATTTGAATAACTAATGGGCGGCCATGTTGGCGAAGCAGGTAGCTTCAAGGCAAGAAAAACAACTGCGATACTTTTTCCACTCACAGTGTTGTTTTCTTTCACCTAGAAAACCAGGTAAAATATTTTATATTGATTATTATTATTAGTGGCATTACATTTATTATGCAAATGTAAGAACACAAATCTAGCTAGTCTATTAGGCAAAACACTGTTCAAAGATAAATGGTCATATTTTTGTAGATGCTCCTCAGCAAATACAAGTTTATCAACTTGTGTTTCAGGTTAATTTGACCGTTTATGGATTTTTATGAACGATATCCTGAACAAAACAGCTTAAATCATGAACCGGCCTTTTGCCAAATTGGTTGCAATTCAGGCTTAACACAAACACAAACAGCTGAAGTCCAACGTTAACTGTGAGCCCGCACAGCGTCAGCGTGCGGCCCAGCAGCCCCGCCTCACCTTCCTCCTTCTTTGTGACGCCTGGGTAATGGGCAAGACCCATCTGTCTCTGCCCGCGTCTCCCTGGTGCGGACTTCGCCCATTAGCGCTGTTCCAAGGTAAACTACATGTGCCATCTACAAACCTGACACGCTATCTATGGAGTTCATATTTTCTCGAGATTATCTATGCTAGTTGACAAGCCGGTAATGGAAAAAATCACACTAAGCAAATGGCTCCTCTAATAACAATAAATTTCCTATAAAATTACGAGGGGTACAAAATGCTTCCTCGCATCTATTTTGCCATGAATTCTAATTAAGGTGGCGGAAACCTGAGAGTGCTGGGTCATCACTGGAGGACTGCTGAGGTTTGATTGATAATGCGTCGCCGGGTTGGCCCAGGCTGCCAGCGATGCCGCTCGCTTCGGAATTAATGGCCGTCCCACCTACCCTAATCATACGGCCCCAATGATATCCCCCCTTCTTATTTCAATTTCGAGAAGGCACGGGAAATAGGAGAGATCGCTCATTTATCTTGTAATGGCGGGATAATAGATCCATCACAATGAAACATCTGCACAAACTCAGTGTTTTCCTCCCTTGGCGACACTAAACACCCCCAACCCAAATCTGCCCACCCACCACCCCAGAGTGACCTCTGAAATCAATACTCTGGCAGGAACCCACCCAAACTTTTGATTCAAAACTCATACCGCAAGATGGACTAGACGTGCTACTAATTACCTTAAACTCCTAAAGCGCTTTCACAATAGACCGGAGTAGAACTTGCGCATTATATATGCATGTAAATAAATACTGACGCCTGCAGATCCGCTACACGGATATATTGCTGAGAAAGACAAAACATAAAAAGGTACATCAAAGCTAATGTATTACGACTGTATTACGACAAATTGCATTTACTTTACTTTCAATTAAATCACTATGGCTGACCGTGCAAAAAAAATGCACACGGAGGAGTGGAAAAAAAACCCACGAACCAGAGATAAATCGAAGAATGAAAAGTATTGTTCCTGAGAAAGAAAAAATTCTCTGATACGAGAATACATGTACAGACAGAAGGAGACACAGAACAGCACCTCCTAATAGGTGCCAAACGACGACCCCGGGTGACACCTTCTGAGTCATTACTGCCCCCCCCCCCACCCCACCCCAACAGAAAGTGCGTTTTTATATGAAGGGGTGATCACTCTTAGTTAAAGCCTTAACTAAACATATCATGCATCTGGTATGAGGACCATTTTTCATACGTTAATTTCGATATCCCTTCATGACGTGGCTGTGAAATCCACCGCCCTGCTCACAGACAAGCTGCCGTGAAGCCAATTTACAGTATCTGCATGCTGGCATGGAGGCACCCAAACAGACGGATTCTGGAGAAAACATGGCATCCTATTCAGCCACTTCACAGTTCAAAGGACACACACAAATCAGCATGCTCTTTTTTTTTTTTTTTTTTTATACAGAAATTACTAACCAATTGGCACAAAAAAAAAGAAACAAACAAAAAAAAACAATCGGGACGTGAAGAAAATGCAGATTCCATATCTATTACATCAGCTAAGAAGAATGTTTTTTTTTTGGGGAGGGGGAGTGTTAGGGGCCCGGCATCCATCTTGAAAATGACTGTCACCGGGATGAAATTAACACAGGGAAGGGATGCATTACATGAGCTGCAAGCTGTCAGCCCAACCTGGCTTTGCTCTGTCAGCTCTCGTTAATCGAACGAGGCCTACGGAAAAGGTGGAGCGAAAAAAACAAAAAACAACAGCTAGTCCCTCTCTGTGGCCTGACAGATGTAAAAGGGAACTACAGTGGAGGTTAGAGCCTCCCATCCCATCCCATCCCATCCCATCCCATCCCATCCCATCCCATCCCATCCCCCACTGTGCCTCAGGCCCCTAAGCTCGGCCTGCCCCTGTTGGGCGACTCTTTGCAAAGTGGAAGGGCGTTCAGACAGAGGACATCGATTTCTGGAGAATTGATTGTGAAATGTGCTCTGCGGGGGGGGGAAATAAAAAAAGGCAAATGTGTTTCATGCCCTTGTGAAATTCCTTCGAAATTCACTCAGTTGATATTGTGCAAATTATATAACAGATGCATAACCTATATTCATGGAACATAATCAATGCGAATGAACAGCTGGTTTGCATTTAGGGTAGGATGTTAAAGACCCAAAGACTTAGCATCATTGTGAAAAGCATAAAAAAAAGCAAATGGTCTCTCAATGTTGTGCTTAAGAAATATCTCAACAAATAACTGAAATATTAAAGTTTACCAAAAAGTATCACCACTGTAATGGAGCCACTACCTTAATCAGGCAAAATGAATCTATTATGTGGATGGTATAGTGGCCCAGTGAGTAACATTGTGCCTCATATGCTGGGAACTGGGGGTTTGTCTTGCACCTGAAAAGCAAACTGGAAACCTGAACTTGAATCCTGCCTCCCCTCTTCATGTGCATGTCACCTGCACTTGTGTAGGTTTCTAATGTCCAAAGACATGTAATTAGTTACATTTGCATCTCTAAATTATTTACATTTCTCAGTGGGTCTCCTGTCCAGCGTGCATCCTTCACCTACACCCAACACTATCTGAGATAAGCTCCACGGCCTCCCCATGACCCAGACAAGAAAAAACCATTACATTCCGTCCCTCCTATTTACGTCAGTGTTCCACAGCAACCCAAACCTGCAAAGAGTCTGAATGCATCATTTTAACTGCGGAGTGCAGACACGAACCTCATTAGCCTGTTTCCTGCTCTGCCTTTTCAGAAGGACCTGCTCTTAACATTTAGATGAGCGGCTACCTACCATAACCAGCTAATATTTCTACGCAACATGCTAATAGGAAGCTGGCAATCCAGGTTGCCCAAAGGAACGCGAGCATCGCTGCCAACCATCACTGTACCACTGCAGTATAGGACAAGGTGGCTAACAGCTCTGGTGCTACGCAACATGACGCTGCTGTGACCAAGAGAATTCTGTATGCTCTACATGCATAAATGGCATGTTGATTTACAAATTAATTAACCGATACAATATCCTCAACTACAGTCGAGCACCAATTATACATAAACTCAATTCTGAACCAACCAAATTCTAGTATATGTTGATATAGCTGAACTCCTGTGCCTTTGGAAATTAGGCAAATTAGGGAAAGTCAAACTTTGACAGGAATGTAAATGACAGCCATGCCAGCCAAGGCACACTGAAGGCAGCAGGATACACCTCATTGCTGTCACATATGCTATGATTGCACGATAATGGATATACATACAGAGTATACTTCACTCATCCCTGGCGGAAGCATGCTATAGGAGTACTGCTATAAAGGTACAAAAAACATAACTCACCTCTAGTGCTGAACAATCTTTGAAGCAGCATAGCATGTGGACTTCAAAAAGTCCCTAAACTAAAAATTCAGGCATAGTTTTTTTTTTTAAATCTGCAGGCAATTAGGCTGTTTATCCAGCACAAAAGCTAATTGCCCGGCAAATGCTGCTACAAGGGGAGCTCTGATACTTTATTTCACAGGTTCTATCACAACAGATCTCATGCTCATGCTAATGCTAATGCTAAGTGTTGGCCTACTGCAGTGTTATTTTTATCACCCATTTATTTTCTTGTATTTTTGTAGCACTGTGGTCTGTAAGGAGGTCACATGCAAGGACTCCATTGCACTATGTACACAACACTAAGACCTTAAAACATTAAAATAAAGGAAGTCTGGTGTATGTAACAGGTACGCTTGGGCAGTATTGAATTTTTCATACTGTCCAGACATTATACAGCAGCATATGGCATATATGCCATGGTGAAAATTGAGTGTAGAAGCAGGTATGGATGTCGGCCACAAGGTGATACCTGGATGGGTGAGAGATTCCCCAGCATCACCAAACCAACATCATACTTCTAAACCGAAAGATTTGTCCACATGCTCTGGGTTTTAGCACTGAATGAGATCAGATTCAGTGTGCAGGCCGGGGGGGGGGGGGCGATAAGCTCTGCAAACCTTAACCAGGTTATAGACTAAACTGCACATTGTGAAATCAGAACATGAAATTCAGAATGGGGGGGTTGAATGTCCAGGAAAACCAGACAAAAACAAGAATCTTAACAATACTCAGAATACCTACACATATAGTCCATTATAGTGACAAAGCACGACCCACCAGTTACTGAATCTCATTTTTCCTGAAGAGAACATGGCAGTAAATGGGCATCAATTTACCAACAAGTTACATTTATTTCAAGGCTGTTTTGTCCATAAGTACAGTAAATTCAACATGTGTCTCGCAATTTGCTATTTGACAGTGTGTTTTAGTCCAAATGGTAATGAAATATTTTATTCATACAGAAACATACATATTTTATTTGTCTGACTGGTTATTTATTTGGTTTATCTATTTATCTACTTAATTTTAATGCTAATAGTTTTTCAAGTGGGCCAGTCTTTGTTTTACTTAATGTAATACACATTTCTGTTTAGCAGGTAAACAGTGGCCAACAATAACGTTACAGGGAAGAAAAGCTTGACTACAGCTCCCCCATGTGTCCAACTGAGGTAAATGCAAACACACAAAAAAAGATTGTACCACCCCAACATCACAATCAACAACAGATTAATTATGAGCGCTACCTGCATTTAGAAGCTTTAAAAGGTTTGTTTAACCTTCTACTATACTTACTGTGCTTTTGTCCTTCAACAATTTTTCAATCACCTCAATCAGATGGTCTTTTTGCTCGGGGTCAAGACTAAAAATGAAACATATTTGGAGACACTTTTAGACGACGGAGTTACATCTACTGCTGCCATAATCTTCTCAGAAAGCGTGCAGACGCCTCAAAATGACGCTCAGAAAGAGAACTAGGCCACAGTGGACCTGGCGGGCTTTGGCTACCTGTACAGCTTCTGGATGGCGTGGGCTGCAGTCTTCCTGACGTACGGGGACAAATCCGCAGCCGCCTCCTTGATCGCCAGCATCATGATGGGCACGATGATGGGCACACGGATGCTGGACAGGACCCTGAGAGCGCTGGCTCGGATCAGCTGATTCGGGTCCTGTCGGGGGCGGGGAGGGGGGGGCTGAGTAAAGCAGAGCGGTACCCAAACGGAGTGGCATGGCTGGGGCGTCCAGCATATTCCAGAGCCGCCTGCCTGCACCACCTCTTTCTGGGGCATTTGTGGTAGTGGCCACACTGTTAGCCAAACCTCGCTTAAATATTTCGCTGTTGCCGGGTTTGATCACTGGGGGTCAGCCCCGAGGCTCTGCCCCGCACTGCAGATACAAAGGTTATCGTAACGCATCACAAGGTGGACAGAAATGGATGCCGTCTAAGCTAAGAACATGTCGCCCGCTCACCCGCCATATTGATCCGCCTCATTTTTGATTCCCTAACTAACCCCCGCGTCCCCCGGGCCGGCCGCCCGGGACCGCCTGCTGCTAGGAGGCCAGCCGATGGATCCCGCACAGCCAGGAGAGAGACGAGACACTTCCCCAAGCCCAGATGTGGAGATAAATTGAAGCCTGATTGAGAACTAGCAGGGGTTGAAATGGGTTTTCGGCGTGGGGGTTTGAACAGCATGCAGGCCGCTTTCCAAACATCGACGTCTCCGGCCGCCGCTGTAAAAATTCTCCTCCTTCAGGTGGACATAAGCAGCGCAGGCCAGAATACAAACCCACAGAACATCAGCGGCCGAATTTATTCCCAATGTCGTATGGCTTCCTAAATAAAGAGGTTTTCCTATTGCGGCAGCACTATGCTACTTCATAAAGTGCAACTCAAATTTAAATGCTGTTTTTTGAAAACAGTTACAAATCGGGGGACAGATACAACTCTGCACCATGCGTGAGCGGTTCACCCTTTCCCAGAGACCATTATTCCTCTGCTGAAATAAGACATTGTTTAGGGGTTGTGCTAAAGAAGCAACCAGCTGTGACATTGCATTTACTCACTCGCACACGCCATACGTTTCCAGGAAACGGGACGTGCCGTTTCGGAAATAAAAACTCGCCATAAATTAAGTCACAGGCAGCTGCGACAATGCTATAGACAAAAATATTGTTTGTGATCGTAAAAAATGACACCAACCCGCTGCTCACCATGTCACACTTAACCCACCTTTTCGCCAAGGTTCTGATTTATTGACTTAATCTGATTCAGTATTTATGATTTACAGTAAGAATGTATAGCTCAAATTAATGTTTTGTGTACAAGGCATGGCCCTGCCTGCAAAGCATTATGGGAAGGAACCAGGGTGCAGGGACTGACCTTGAGGCCACGTTGAAAGGTGCTGATGGACAGCAAGGCAAGATCCTGCTGCTCCTCGGCGTATCTGACCAGGTAGACATAAACCAGTTTCTTCAGCTGCAAAAGAATCACACACAGAAATGTTCATGTGCACAAACGCGAGTATGCGAGCACACGAGTGCGCACGTCACACGCGCACGCACATACACACGGTTCTCAACAATCCCAAGGAAACCACAAGTTCAGAGGTTATCCATCTAGGACTTTCGCTCTCCATTACGGTACTTTGATTTCCTCTAAATTGCACTTTGAGAGATATATAATGAACCCCATACGTGCCAATAAATTGTTTCCATCAGCATCGACCACCAGCGTTCGCTTTCGGGAGAGCTCCGCCGGAATTCCCACTTCTCCCGCAGGCGTTGACGCGGCAACAACGGCCGACGCGGCCGATATCGAGTGGAGCGGAGTGATCCCGTGCAATCGAAGGCAGCCGAGGCCCCCTTGTTTTCCTCGGACGGGGTAACAAAGCCATTACGGGTTAAAAGGCCGGCTTGACAGAAGCAGTTTGCTCTGATGGTGTGGCGGGTAGCTGGGTCTACCCGCCATCGTTTACTTTCTATCGTTCCCTCCCACCATCAATGCGGAAGAGAGGCTGCGCAAATACTCAGTCGAGTCGCCAGATGAGTTGTGATTGCGGGTCAGGGATCAGGCCCTGCTGTAATGCGGGCGGATTCCACAGGTGAAGGGCCCCCGAACTGGCACTGCGTTGCCATTTCAATCATCGTTCGTGTGATTATGAGGTAAATGAACAGCGTAACTCACTTAAAACGGACACGGTGCCAATCTGTCGCCGACTTCTAAATTTAATTTACACGCACAGGGATTTGATTTGAATTCTAAACACCAAGTGAATTACTGTCATGAGAGCTGTTTAATGACTTAACAGCCACATGCGATTTTCGAATAGTCGCTGATTTTTTTTTTTTTTTTTTAAAGAACAAATATTCTATTAAAGCAGTGCTTGTTCTGGCAATTTCCAAGTCGTCCCCCAAATTAACAGCCTGTTGCATCGTCTTTCCAGAAAGTTACTTTTAAAAGTTTAAATTTCCTCCTTTATTCAGACCACTATGATTGACAAAGGGCTGGGCAAACTACTACTTGCTAAGGAATATACTGCTCAGAGAATTTATACAGACTACTGCATCCTGGGCGAAAAATGAAATTGCTTGATAAATATTAGGCTGGGTGGCCATATAAAGTCCACCCAGCTAATATCGGGCAGGAACCAACAGCCTGCAGAACCACCCCAAGGGTAAATGAACTGTGCAGAGAAGCCTTTCTGCCGTTACACTGAGCTGTTATTGTTGCACTTGTGGTGCTCCCATTAGCTTTAATGAGTCTGGTCATTCTCCTCTGACCTCTCTCATTAACAAAGTGTTTTCAGCCACAGAAATGCCGATGACTGGATGTTTTTTGTTCATCACATGATTCTCTGTAAACTCTGGAGAACAGTGTGAAAATCCCTCCAGGGTGGCTGTTTGAGATGCTGGAGCCGGCGCAAGTGATCGCACCACATTTGAAATCACCGAAATAAGGCATTTCAGACATTCTAATGCTTTGTCGAACACTAAGTGAACCTCTTGACCCTGTCTTTGTGCTGTGTTTATTCAATTTAAGTCAAATGATTTGCAGTTTGGAGAAAGGGGCTGTTTATCTTGACAGGTATGTGTACAGTACCTATTACAGCTGCCACTGAAATGTCTTATTTTGGTCTCTGTGCCTGTGATTGGATGGTTTTCATAAAGGAGAGCAATGTAACCATTCTTGTACTTGTAAAAATGGGGGGCTTCATTTCATTTCATTACTAAACTATTTCAGAAACCTGTGTACCACACATTGTCTTGAGGAAATGGTTAATCTGAGGAAACATTTCGACTCCCTGTACAAAGATGATGAACACATCCATTCACGGGCCTCCCTATAAACAGAGGTAAACAAAGGCGTTTCCTGAGATGCCGGATTTCAGCACATTCCACAATCTAAGTGGATAAACTTCAGCACGCCTTGTCCAACAGGAAAGCTGACTCGGCTGCCTGAGACTACAGACTGTGTAAGAAAACATCCCTGCAACCACTAACTAAATAACGAAACTTACCAAGCTACAGTTACATACTGAAGCAGATGATGACTGATCAATTACTGCAGTCCAAGGATTCCAGTTTCACCCCTAGCACATGCTAAATTTTTTTTAAAATTTACTTTCCAACAGTTACATAAGTTAGCCCAATTTAAAAGCAAGAACTAGCCAATTATTTTTTTAAACACAGGATAAATTTTTTTTAAACACAGGATAAAACACAGCAAATTTTGTTAGCTGAATTAACGAAATTAGACTCCCAAGTCAAAAATAATAAGTGTAGAGAATACAGAAGGATGGTCATATGGGCAAATTTCACATCAGCTCAATTAGCTAGATTCACCTCACCAGTGTGTCACAGGTCCCCGACTTTAATGACAGCCATGCTGAGCTCTGGCCCAGTGCGGCGCTCTAATGCTTGATATTTCCCTAAACAATTTCAACATTTCCTTGTTTTTTTTTTTTAATAAATGTTACCCATTCGAAAGCAACTGGGTTAAATGTTTAGAGTTAACATGGAAATGGCTATTTAATTTTGTACGATTATTTACTGCAATAAGAGGCCTAATAAGAGGTTAATTAGGGGGTTAATTAGTATACGCACTATGATTTTGCTATAGAAAAAAAAAAAGAATTTTAGCTGAAAATTTGTTGTTAAAATAAACGACATCGTTTTATTTATTTGGCATTTTAAATGGTTCTTCATGAATTTTAAAAAAAATATTTTTTAAAGAAATTCTTCTACATCTTCTTGAGCAAGTATCAGTGATCAGCACAAAACCATGACATCAAAGGCAATATGGTGGTAATGGACAATGTCACATATACTACCTTTTTAAGAAATATACATTATAATAATAATAAATATATATATACACACACACACAGGGTGTCCATAAAGTCTCTTTACAATTTCAAAAATGTATTACGAAGGCAATTGATGAGATACCTTCATCAGATTTGTTCTATGTACTCAGAGGTTATCAAAGTTTTTAATCACATTGCAAACTAAGGTACGGGACATCACTAATCTAAAGCAGAGGGTCACTGATGCCATTGCCACCATTGATGAAGGTATGCTACAGCGAACATGGAAAGGAATCGAGCACCGTCTTGATGTGCTTCGTGCAACTAATGGTGCCCATATAGAGGTGTATTAAATGAGGCAAAAAAAAAACTTAAATATATATATATGTCTCATTTTGTAATAATTTCCGCATATCTGTCATTTTCATCTGCCTTTGTAATAAATTTTTGAAACTGTAAAGAGACTTCATGTGTGTGTGTGTGTATATATATGGGGGGCGTTATATATATATATTGTTATGGGGTTTCCTCTTGGTACCCCAGTTCTCCCACAGTCCAAAAACATTTGGAGGTTAAATGGAGTTGCCATAGGTGTGAATGGAGAAGCAGGTTCGGAAAATGGATGGACAGATGGATGAATGAAATTTTAAACAAGCCAACTCATAAGAGTAAGACTGGATCTAAACATTCAAGTCATCATTGAAGGTTTCCCTTTATTGACAAGCCAAGAAAGGTGTCAGTTTCTTTCGCTTAAATTCAAATTTAATCACGTTGGCTTAATAAAATATTCCGATTAAATTTTGCATACATTACTGTATTTTATTTGCCTGTAGTGCACCAAGCCACATGCATGTATACCACACAAAATGAGCCCACATGCTACACATAACTATTCAGCTATGCAATGATCATGTGACCATCACAATGCATTTCTATTCAAAATGATCTCGATTGCCCACTGACAAACCACTTTGATATTTTTTAAACAGTCAAAATATCCTTCAAGAATTTCTCCATTTTTCTCCTTCCATCGAAAAGCAAACAAAAGGAAACAGAAATCAATAGAATAGGGAAACCGCAGTGTAACGTGGGACCTGTCCGCTCCAGCCGGCGGCTTATTACCCGCTTAAAACAGGACGGTGGCCTTTAAAGCATTCCAGGGTGAGTGACAATTAAATCAGAAAGTAAAAAGCTGACCTTGGGAGCCCACAGCCCACGAATGCTGTACCCAGAGGAGAATGTCCGCCCCCTCACTACTGAGGAAACACGGCAACACTCATAACGCGGCAATCTAAGCGAATAAAGCACTTGATAGATTGTGTGATATTTTCTCTTTGAAGGGACTGCAGGCAGGTGAGGAGGGATGGAGAGAGTGAGGGAGGGAGAGGATGAGTAGGAGGAGAGGAGGAGAAAAAAAAAAAAACCATTTCAAGGCTGCTGTTCCCAAACCGTTTTCGCACTAGTTTAGGAACACAGCATCCTGATATTAAATCACAGAAGGCAGCAAAACACTCGATTTGTTCCTGAGTCGCTTCTGATTAGATGCGATCAATGTCAGACGGCAGGGGCCGGGGACTTTGGGGATGGAGGGAGCACGCCGAAAGCCGAGCCGGCCCAGCGGCCAGGGAGGGGGCGTCGGGGATGCGGGGGAGGGTGCTAGCAGCAGGGGTGCACGGGACATGACCACAGGCCCTACGCCGCCAATTACCCGGCGAGGCGACGAGGTGCCCTGCCTGGCGCCTAATCAAAATAGAAACGCATTAGGCCCCCAGAACACGGGCAGCCCTCTCATTGCCTGAGGTTTCATTTATTAATCGATATTCACGGGCCGCTCTTCGTGACTCATTGGACCCAGAATCCATTGGGCTCTGCTCCACGCCGGGTCACCGGGAGGCCTTCGCCATGCAGTGCCAGAGGGCTCACCTTATAATTGGCATTTCAGGTACGGATCGTTTTTAAAAATAACCTTAAAAAACAATGACCTATTATTTCCAGGAATGCTGCGGACAGCACAAGCAGCGATGGACCATCTTTTTTGGTTGGTGTCCTGCTAAGCTTTTGAAATCAAACGTCAGCGAATGAGAGGAGATGACGACTGGGCATGATAAATTGTTTTACATAGAATTAGTTAATGCAGTACTATTACTTACCATCTTCCCACATAATACTCCTTAATCTTGTAATATCATTTACTGTAGGAGCAAATGAATTACAACCACTCCTCAGTCAGTGATCAAGCTCCGCTACAACAACCGGGTCGTTAAGTGAAATGGTTGCTAAGTGAAAATCACGGTAGCCTAGGCGTGACCGTGACTGTACTTACAACTTCAATTCAGCCTTCCATACTCAATTTCTTTAAACCCCCATGACGTGGAATTTTTAGCATTTCGTACATTCAACTTCAAAGATCTGTCTCACTCCGGCGTGCAAAATTTGGTTGTAACTGTGCGCAATGGTCGGAAAATGAATTTTTTATTACCGTTGTTTTTGCCGAGATGTTGAGGTAGTGTTACTACTGAGGCAGTCACTAAACGAGCAGTGGTTCTACTCATTCTGAAAGATCGTGTCCCACGTGAACTTGCAGCAGGCAAGGCAGTCAGGACTGCGCAAACTTTTTTTTGAGAAAGCGTCAGATGAGACCGTCGTACCTCAATGTTCTTGTTCGCCACATTCTTCACGACAGCCGGGAAGAGATCTGAAGCGTTCCTCCCCCTGGACATCAGCTGAGATGTGAAAACAGCAAAGGCAGCATATCAGTGCACACTAATGGATCAGCACTTTCTCCCAGGTTCAGAACCACGTCTTTGAGAGGGTGATACACCACCACGGCCACCCTCAGAGACCACCCTAGGAGACCACCCTCAGAGACCAACCATCCAACATCACTCACCCCCACAATCCTTTTCATCGCCTCCAGTTTCAGGGACTCCTTGTTGCTCTCCAGCATTTCCTTCAGGTCATCGTTCCTTTTTTTTTTTTTTGGGGGGGGGGGGTCAAAACAAGAAAACGCTGTTACAGACTGAAACCACCAACCCATACTAGCCCACAAATGGAACTTCAAACACACGTGATGAGAACAAGACAACACCAACTCTCCAGACACCACCGTCGTTGGAGGACCGAAGTCTTACTGCTAAAAAAGCAGCCCTCCGCATAATATAGTGCCCCCCCACTCCCAACAGAAAACTCCACGATTACGCTACAGTAAGATAAGGGACAGGGGCCCTTCCCCCCCCCCCTGTCCTTGGCCATCCACCGGAGGTCAGTGCCAGTACCCACCCAAACTCCTAATGCCGGCATTAAGCAAAAATCACTGGTCATCTAAACACAGAGACAGACAGACATTACAATGTCTGACAGCGGCGTGAATGACGACACAAGAGCATCTGTATTTCTGCTGCAGCAGGATAATCGTTCCCACCCCAAGGACTCACCAGAAAGCCACACATAATCCTGTGAATAATCTGAATTGAAAGAGTAAATCACCCCTTATGAATTAAAAATTAATTAAAACTGTGCAGTACAACTATGACGTAAAGTGCATAAAATGGGGGGTGGGGGGGTACAAAACCATTTTAATATCATGTTAAGAGTCACAAGCACCTTCTCTCACAGTAAGGACACACACACACACACACACACACACACACAGTACCCTATGGTGGGCATCTCTTCCGCACTGCCCTCGCTGTTGGTCAGCACCCGTTCCTCCAGGGTGAGCTCGGGCCTGATGGAGAACTGCAGGCTGTCAGCCATCCCCCGCACCATCCCCACGGCCCCAGCGGCTCCCCCCCGCAGCGAGAAGCCCACATCCATCCTGCTCCGCGAACGCCAGCCCCGCACCACATGCAGCAGCCTCTCAGACGCTGCCTGACAGAGCGCCTGCCCGCCCGCCTCGACCAGCGCCCGCCTCGACCAGCGCCCGCCCGCCCGCCTCGACCAGCACCCTCCACTACCTCCACATCTGATTCCCTGATAGCTGCTCTTAAGCAGCAACTAGGTTATGTGGGCAGCCTCTGTCAGGAAAGGAATGTGGATATCTATATTTAAATAAACGCCCCCACCCCCCCCCCCCAAACTCTCTCTCTCACACACACACAAACACACACACATACCTTATCGCTTCTCTCTGCAAACACTGGGACTCTTTCATCAGCCCTGCCTTGAAACACAGCTCTGAAATGGGTTCCCCAAGACTAATGGGCTCATCCCATTTGGCCCCACGATACACCTGCCGCTGGCCCGGGAAGGCCGACCGCTTTCGACATGGTACAGGCTGCTCACAGCGCCCACGAGATACCGCAGCTGATGTGAAATTCAAACCGCCTCAGACGGCTCCGAACTCAGACGACGACACATGGATGAAAAATGCGAGCATTTCACCAAGAATGACTTGGTAGCGCGAGCTGACAGCAGGAAACGGCACTTAAAGCTGGCGGACAGGCGGCAGGCGGCAGGCGGGACGTTAATGTGGCCCAAAGGCTGTGGAGGCGCGTGGCGTCGGCGCGGCCGGGGAGCGGTCGCAGCGTTTAAATGGATGACGTGTGCAGCCCCCGTTTCCGAGAAGAGGGGACATTATAAGGCGCCAATTGCCATGGCGACAGGTGCATGGTCTGGCACCTGTTGACGGATAACGGCCGCCGCCTCTGCAGGGCCGTCCCTCGACGGCTGCACGCCTGTCAGGCCGCCGACGCGTCCGCACCGTACCCTGACAAAAGGATCATCCAGCGTCCCCGACAGCTGTCACCAAAACGAGGTCTGCCCCCCCCCCCCCCCCCCCCCCCCCCCCCCCCCCCCCCCCCCCCCCCCGGCCTGCACACTGAATCTGATCTCATTCAGTGCTAAAACCCAGAGCATGTGGACAAAT